TAGTTTTAGATATGTATGTAAAGATTTCATTGTAGATTGATAATGCCATACATTCAAGGTACCTTCTGGTTTAAAAAAGTGTAATTGTTTTCTTTTCATTGTTTCACTTCAGTATTGTAGTGTTACCATTTTCCAGCTTGGAGAAGTAAGTAATTTGTTTCCTGACCCCCATGTTTCCTCCTTAGGTGTACGAGACTACATCCATGTAATGGATTTGGCATCTGGACATGTTGCTGCTCTTTCCAAGCTTGACAGGGAACATCTGAGATACAAGGTGAGGATATGACAGTTGAGTAATCAGTGAAGTAAAGTCCTGTGTTATATTTACACAGGTTTACTTAAGTTTAGACAACTGGACCACTTGTCATTTATAACTTTCAGACCATTAGTGATCCATGCATATGTATGATATTGGTTTATTTGTGATTTAACTGATAATTTTGGCTTTAATCATGTGAAGTTAATGAATTTGATACTCCCCTTTTGATTAGGAACTAATGATAAGTAAGATGCTCTACATCTTATGTTATATTATTTTATGAAGATTCAATTTTTCCAAAGAAGGAAAAGCAAAATTGAATTAACTGATATTGCCATTTGTTTGTTTTAAAAGAGCTAAATTGCCAAGGTTATTTGTTAAGAACTGTCAGAATAGATCCCTGATACTTGTTTTGAATAATTACTGATTCCCTCAAAAATATTTTGTAATACTATCTTTTAATGGAGTTATAATCATAATATTCTAGTGTAATTGATCATATAAATCATCTTGGAACATGTAAAAGCTTTTTCTTCTTCTTCTTTCTTTCTTTCTTTTTTCTTCTTTTTTTTTTTTAGAATGTAACTGTAATTAATTTGTAAATACTTTTAAGTTATCTATTAGCTCCTTGGATGCTTCACTGCCCACATGTGGCCCAAAATACAGGCGTTAACCTTACTTTAGCAACCACTCTGATGGCTTGTAGGTCAATCACACACCAATACTCATGTGTGGTAACGAGACTCCTTTTCTGTATAAGCCTTTTTAGCTTTTTTGCCATTTTCTAATGTCTATATTTATCATTTGATTTGCTTTATCCAGATGGTAATAAACTGTTTTCCTTGCAAAGACTCCATATCTTTCTAGATAATCTGTAACTTAGTGCAATGGTAATAACATTTTGTTATTTGTGCCATTTTATTTATTTATTTTTTTTTTCATAATATTAAATTTTCTGTAATGCAACCTGTGCTATAGCTGTTTCTCCTAAACATGGAAATAATGTCCTTCCTGGAGCCAGCACTCTTCGAGTCATGGCTAATGCATGGTACATTCCACACTTGTTTATCAATAGAAATAATTAAAAAACCTCTTCCTAAATGCCCACTGAGTCTAATCACCTTCCAAGAAGTTTGTACGCTCATGGCAAGTCATTCCCGTTACCCCAGCCTTCGGTCAAAATTTTTATAACTGCAAATTCCCATCACCCTGGCCCTCAGCAAAATTTCTCCATGATGGTATGTTCACATCACCTATCCCTCAAGCTCATTTTTTTCATGACGTGATGGTCACATTCTCCGGATTGCAGGTGTTAAGACAGCAGCAGTTAAGCAAGCATTAAGGAATTATTTATTAAATTGTGTGCACTTCCCAATTTTATAGATACATCATTTTTGTGCTTAATTCCATAATTGAACATATTCATAGATAATGTTTTAAGATAATTATTTCAAAATGCAACATTTGTTGCAAAGTGTTAATGTACTATTATTCCTGATTTGTTGCATGACTAACTCTGGACTCAGTAAATGGTAATGTATACGAAGGAATAATGTTGATTAAGAAATGTGTGTACATGTACTTTTTCAATTGATATTATGCTTTCCAGTCTCTGATTTCTTTGCCATAAGTTAGTGATTTAGTTGAGGTAACACCCACTGTAATTACTAATCTAATATTTATGCATTCACTTTTCCATTATTGAGCTGTAAGTTATCTAGTATTTCACATTTTATTCAAGCATCTTTTTCTTAATGATACAACTGGTTTGATTATTTATAGTTGGTAAATATCAGGGATTAATGTATAATTTCTGCAAACTTAAAAGAGTCCTAGTATAGCTTGATATGAGAGAAAAAATATTTCATTAACCCCTTGGATCCAGGTGCTTCACGGCAACCATATGGTCCAACATTAGGTTTACATGAGTGGCCACTCTGCCGGGTGCGTGGCTTGTAGACCAGGCACATATGACCATATGTACAGTAATAAGACTCTTTGCCTCCCCTTTGCATAAGCATTTTTAGCTTTTTTGCCATTTTCCTGTGTCCATATTTGTCAATTGATACGCTTTAACCAGATGGTAATTGACCGTATTCCTTTTCCTAGTCTATAACTAATGCAAGAATAATAACAATAAGTAACTTTTTTTTCTTTCTTCTTCTTCCTCTTCTTCTATTCATCATATTCAATTTTCTGTAATACAACACATGCTGCCAGTCACAGCAGCCAGAAATAGGATGCTAAGCATGGAAATGTCATCCTCCCTGGAGCTGGCTTATGGACACTACATTCCACACTTGTTTATTGATGGAAATAGTGCAAAAGCCCCTTTCTAAATGCTAGATGAGTCTAATCACCCTCCAAGAGGTTTGTGCACTTGTGGCAAGTCTTTTCCATCACCCTGGCCTTCAGCCGAAGTACTCACGATGGCAAATTTGTGTCACACAGCCCACAGTCAAATTTTCCCATAATGGCATATTCATATCACCCTCCCCTCAAGCCAAATTTGTTCATGACCTGATGGTCACATCGTCCAGATCAAAGGGATTAATAGTTTGTTATTAAACATGTTGATTTTAGTACCACTGAATACAGTATTTTAGGAAAAAATAATAATTTTTAAAATGAAGTTCACAATTTTAAGCAGGAGCAAAAACAGTATTTAGTGTTATTCTCTGATCTTCACTTAGCCCCTCAACCTAGGCCTAGGTGTTGGCTTGTCAGTGCTGGAGTTTATCAAGAAATTTGAGCGTGTGTCGAAGGTGCAGATTCCTTATGAGTACGTGGGAAGGAGAGTAGGAGATGTGGCAACGCTGGTGTGTGAAGGAAGCCGTGGCATGAAAGAGCTGAACTGGCAACCACTCAGGAATTTTGAGGTCATGTGTAAGTAAAAATTTCAAAGCTTTAATAAAAAAGAACTAAATCATTTTATTCCACAGGCAGCTGTAATTTCCTGATTCTCCCATCTACTTCCCCCTCTCTCCCTCTTCTATCTTCCTACAAGAAGAAAGCCCTGTTGCCTTGCATCAGAATCTGCAGTCTCATACAAAGAAATTTTTCACAGACATACAACCTTGGCACAGGCAAGGGCGTTTCAGTGTTGCAACTCGTGAAGGCTTTTGAGGCCATGACTGATACTAAAGTCTCTTATGAGCTGAAACCACGACGAGAAGGAGACATTGTATCCATGTTTGCCAACTCTGCACTTGCCAAGGAAGAGCTTGGCTGGACAGCCAAGTACTCCCTTGAGAACATGTGTAAGTCACCAACCCTCCATGTCCCTTCTTGCTTGAGCTATTGCCAAAAAAGTTTTGCCAGCATTTTTTCCCATTCCTACTTTGGCATAAAAGAGTGTTGCTTATGGGCGTAATTATACCCATGAGTCTTTTTTTGATTAGAAAAAAAAAGTTTACGGTTTGCAGTAATATCTCATTCAATGTGTTTCCTAACCCAATGTTGATGGGATGGCAATAATACATGCCAAGTCCACTGTATTTTTTTTATTGATTGTCTTTATATATAGATTCTTTTTTATTTTTTATTGCTATTAGATTAATAATCATTCTCTCAACAACAGTGATAACATCAGTATTACCTGATGCTGCCATAGATGGCCTGTATGCACATACCCTCAGTGAATTTAATTTACTAATTGCCTTTACATGTAGATGGCTCCACAAGTGCTTAGTCATTAATGAGTCAATCACTAGTCCCACCTATCTCACCAGTTTATCCTTTTCCTTGATTTCTGGAATTATTTTTTTTATTTTATACTTTGATTACTATTATTAACCCATTCACGCCAGGTAAAAATGAACAAAAAATGGGGAAAAATGCTGTGCTCATTTTTTATACTTTTTGTGAAATTTCTCTACTCTAGATGGCCCTGCCTTACCTGATTTCATTTGGCGGGAAAATGTATTTTTTACTAGTACTATGAATATCGATGGTTATTTTTATTACAGACATTATAATCACTATAATGTTATGAACATTAGTAACAACAAAATAAGATAACGTAAAATATTTTCATAAATTAAAGAAAAGGGTAAACAGACAACACAGGCCATACAAGTACAAGTGTAGCCATCTATGTGTAAAAACAATTTAACAAGTAAACTCACAGTGGGCCTGTCACATAAACGTGACACCCGGCGCGAATGGGTTAATAACACTAATGATTATAATATCAATGATAATGATATGAGCTTGGATATTAATAGTATGAGAAAGAAAAAAAAAATCCAAAAAACTCAAGGAAGGGGAAAATCAGGGGAGGACATGTTAACAGCCAATTGATTCCTTGCTGGCTGGGCATTTTTGGAGCCATTTATTTGGAAATACACTTCACACACTTCACAAAACAATACCCTGGTGAGCATTATAATTTTTCACTTGTGATGCCATCCATGTGCAAACAAAATTTACAAAAAGTAACAACAGACAGCATGATAAAATGGCACCCTTAGGCTAAAAAACAAAACAAAAACAAAAAAAATTAAGAACATGTTCTAATATTATCTCCAGTCTTACCAAATATTAAAGCAATGTCTTTCATCATAGTCTGTGCATTTTCTAATTTTACCATTATTGTTACAATTATTATTTTCATTAATACTATTCTTCTGGAAACATGGAAAAAGAAGAGACCATTTTTTGTATTCTTTTAGTGCAGTTGGTTTGGTCTGTATTATAGCTATTTTTACTACATATATGTTATACCTTGTCAAGTGAAGAA